AGGCAAACGGGCGGAAGAAGTGGGCTATATGAAGGCGATTGGGAGGGACGCGTCGCAGTTCTATTTCCCTCCAGGTAAATTTTCACTAAACACAAATTTTAGTATTTACTGTGTTCTATAAAACAAAATTAGAAGTTAAAGTAGTGAGTTAAATTTTTTAGTTTTTTCAAGTATACAATGAGTATTTACATAAAACATAATAGATAAATACAAATATATATATTTGTTTGTTGGCAGGAAAAGACACTTACAAATTACAGATCGCACATACGATGAAGTCCGAGGCAAAACGCGTCGAAAGCGTCGGAGGTGTTGATTAATGCGCCCGACGAGTTTCTTGACTGGATCAGGCAGCCGACAATGGCACGTGGCGACCAGCACAAGTCTTTTTATTTTTTTGATTTTTTCATGTTGTAAAATTTTCTCATGTATAATGTCTCTTTTTTTATTCATGAAATTGTATCTTTTGAGTTTTTGCATTTGGTCTTTTAACTATTTTGTGTTATTGTTTGTTTATTGTATTTATCTAATTCTTTTCTTTGTATTTTTATTGTGTCTTCTCACGTCCTTTTATTATTTTTTTTGTTCTAACGCAAATCCTTGTTAGGGAAGAGCTTTAATTGGTGTGTTTAGGTGTTTTTCAGATTCAGCAAGTAGCAAGTAACAATAGAAATAGCGCCAGCAACGGGTTTGTAGTGAGTCAAATTTTTTCTTTTTTCCGAATAATTAGATTGCCCCTACCCCTCTTTTACTGAGTTGGTGAGTAAATATTTTACTGACTTCTGGAGCATCAAATAATGGTTTGTAAGAATTTCTTATTAATATCTAAGCAGGTGGAATGTGAGTTGTAAGTTAACGAGTAAATTATTTTTTGAAATATTTTGACCAAAATTATAATTTTATTTTAATCTATCTTGAAAAAAGACTCACTTTTAGCATTTTTTACTTCGGGAGAAGTTGATCGATTCTTAAAAAAGAATTGGGTGGAGCTCGTATGATTTTTTTGTTAGTATTTAGAACTGTTAGGAAGTAGGCATTTTAAAAATTTCCTAATTGAAATTTCAGCTTTTCAGACAAGAATAATTTGCAGAAAAAACTTCTCGAATAACTTCTCGAATCGAGAAAGGTAATCAAAAAGAAAGGTAATATAAGTTGGTAATAAAATTTTAATTTTATAAACGTGTGAGTTTTATTTATAATATATACCTCAAAACTCATATTTAGAATACGCATTACTACAACGTTTGATTTTTTGTTTATGATTTTGGATTATAAAATTTTCAGGAAACGGTGAGAAGATCGACACGAGAATGATGAATGCTTCCGGTTCAGCCGGAATGGAATGATGAATGCTTTTGCCAGCGCTAGAATAAGATGTGTTAGTGATGCATATTGATCTCTGTACCATCACAAGAAGACTGCTGGAGAAAGTTGGTAAGAATTCAAGATGTTAATACATGCTAAAGCAATGAATTTGTCAGACGACCGTACTAAGCACAAAATTTTGCAGGTATGATTCATGCAAATGAACGATATGATCAATTTTTCATGAATAATTTCTGATCACTTTTTGTAATATTTTTTAGTTAGATTATGAATCGATGGCAGATGGATACGGACGAGTTGATCAATCGACAGTCAAAATTTTCAAAGCATTCAAGACCAAATGTCCGAGAATACGCAATTACATGTCAATAAGTGCTCGTGAGAATATGCAGACGGTAACTGAAGACAGGTTAGTCATTGGATCTTACAGTTTGCCAACTGGCATACTTTGATTCTGATCAAAAATTGACAATTTTAAATTAATCAAAGTATTTATCTAAGTCTAATA